AGCGGCAAACGCGGCGCGGCGGCGGCACGTTCCACGGCGAGCCCGGGGGCGGCCGCGCAACGGCGGAAACGGCGACGGGCGGCGGGCGGCGGGGGGAGTTGCGTCGGCGGGGTGCGCGCGTTCGGCGTCGGCGCCTCCGCCGCGGGCGACGGCTCCCTCGCGGACTTCGTGGCGGAGGGGTCGCCCGCCACCTCCCCGCCCTCGTGCCCCCCGCCGTGCAGGAAGCGGCGCTGCCGCGGGGAAAGCGGGGGCGGGACCGGCGGCGAGCAGCGCCACGGCGCCGCCGATTTCGGCCGAGACGCCGCGGAAGGTGGCGGCGCGGCTGCGGCAACTCGAGGCGGGGCTCCGTGTCCGGATGGGGGCGCTCGCGCGACCCTCCGCCGGGCGCTCAGAGGGGGGCGGCCGCACGGCGTCCCGCCAAGGAAGACGGCGCAGGCGCTGGCGGGCCCGGCTGGGGCTCCGTGTCGCGGCCGGGCGGCGTAGGGGGGCTCGGCAAGAGCAAGCCGCGGAGGGTTGTCGCCGACACACTGCGGCTGCGCCGGCAGTTCCGGCATGAGCGCATTGGGGGCGTGGGCGGGCTCACGCTGGTGGAGGAGGAGATGCTCCGGCAGACGACGACGGCGGTCGCCAGCCGCCATCGCCTCCCGCGCGGGGACACGCACGCCGGGCGGCTCATCGACGACGAGGGGGCGCCGCCGAGGGCACGCGGCCCCGGTGCCCCCGCGCCCCGCAAGGTGCCCGGCTGCTGTTGGACCCCGACGGTGCGCCGCAGAAGCTGGTGCCACCGCGGCGGCGGGCCCCGCGCTGCCGAAGAAGGCGGTGTTTAAAATCCCGCTACGCCTGCAGGGGAAGTTTGCCTGCATTTAAAACAAACACCACAAAAATGAAGGCCTTTTTCGCAGACCCACCGCCCCTCCAGAGCGCACCTGGAACGGGCCCGACCCGAGCCACGGACGGGGTGCTCCGCCGCATTTGGAGCGTCATTGCCGGCCCGCTCCGTCGTGGCGCGTGCGCCTGCGGTTTAACTTTATTTTTTTGGGCGCGCCGGCGCCCCTCACACACACAGCGAGGCGGCTGATGAACTTGCGAAAGCAGCGCTGGGGGAATTTCAGGACGCACCCGCGCGGATGGCGGACATCCGCACCGCCACCCGCCGCCGCCGCGCACAGAAAACTGAGGAGGCCGCCATTATCCCCGCAGGACCCGACAGCCAGCGCCGGCGCCTCGTCGTGGATGGCGCGAGTCCGCAAACAGCCCCGCCGACGCGTGCAG